TGAACCCTCTCACCCCCCACACCTCTGGTCTGTATCCCAGTTCTTGTATGCATAAATAAATCTTAAAAAAAAAGAAATGATGGAAGGCTCACTGGAGTCCCATAAAACTGAATCTTTATCTTCATGGTTTATTTACACGTAAGGATTGAAAATGAAATGAACTAGTGCTTTTCCTCAGGTGTGCTTCTAATACAGTCTCAGCTATTTTACTTGAATTTTGTGGTAATTTATGCTGACACACTAGAGACAAAGCATACTTGTGTGAAATTCACAGAAAATTCAGATTAAGACCTTGTTTTAGATGAAGGTTTCAAACTAAATAGGGATATTGGTCGATTTCTGTGCTTTCCCTGCTGAAGCTACCTGTGTGGAAGCTGGAAGAGGACTTCCGGCGGGAGCAGGCCAGTCAGGTGCACTTGTCCCTTTCTGCCTGCAGGTGGCACCACCAGACCAGCAATGCTCCTGACAACGGCCAATGAGAAGGCCTGCAGCTGTATCAGTGCATGTTCGGATACAGGCAGCTTGTTAAAATGGAGTAATATAGTATCTGAATTTGAAGACATAAGCAGACCCCCATCTCAGTGTGTCCCCCATATTTACATATATTTGAATGACTGTCCCAGTCTTTTGCTATCCCCCGAGTGAGGTCTTTTGGGATTTCCCCTCTCTCTCCCCTTCTGCCTTGCCACAGCAGCTCTGGTTTCTTATTTCTTCTTGAACCTCTCCCTTACAAAAATACCCGTAAATACCCAAATATTCCCCCGTGCTTCGATGTGGCATCCATCCTTTCACAACAGAGGAGCCAGAGTTAAGAGAGGCGGAGAGAGGAGGCAAAGCGCCTGGACAGACGTGGGCCTCACTTCCCTCCTTCACGGCGAGTATTACAAACAGCGAGGTTCTTTCCCTCTTGCTAGGCGTAATCATTGTCTGTAAACCATTGCTGTCAGCGACAGACACTTTGAGAAAAACCCAGAGCTGTGCCCTTGCTTTGGGGACATGGAACATAGGAGAAATTCTGAGAGCAGAGCTGTTCTGTCTCTGTCTTTGAGGAACCAGGAACAAGTCAGACTAATCACAACGAAAAGTGGAAGGGACAAAAAAGAAGCAGACAGCCTGTCATGTGGGACTGAGTACATGTAAAAGGATAACGCAGGTCTTCCTGACCCAGTGGGAGAGGCCTCCCAGACCCTCAAGCCTCACATCCCTCCCCCTCCCCCACAGTGATTCCCCTGGAAGGCAGGGAGGGAGGGGAAGGGTGGGGAAATGGCTGTTCCTTTTCCAGAACTGCTCCAGGTAGAGTTATCTGCCAAAAAAGTGGATCTTGATACAAGATGCCACCGAAGCCTCGGTGTGGTCTGTGGTAGCCTCATACTGTACAGTCGTTTCCATGGCTTTCTGGAGGGGCCGGCGTCCCGTCCACAGTACATCCTTTAAGACAAATTCATGTTGACCTTGTGACCACTCATATGTTGAAAACAGCGTCGATTGCATCACATCACATATACGGAACATGTTAAGCTTGAAAAGCAAGTTTTAACCCACTGACAATTCAAATTGGTTGTATAAAGCTTAGAAATTTTTTTTTAAGATTTATTTATTATTTTTATACAAGAACTAGGGTAAAGGCCAGCACCACGGGAGGGTGAGAGGATTCACCAGAGAAAAAGCGGGGAACAGAACAGGCAGACTGAAGAAATACACTGCTGAGGGGAGCAGCGGGCAAGACAGGAGAGGTCTGCTGCGCCATGTGGGATTCTCGCCTGCCAGCTGGGATAGAACCAGTGCTGCAGAGGCTGCAGACAGCTTCATAGCGCTGCGCTCAACCCACTGTGCCACCGGGGAGGCCCTAGAACTGTGTTTCAAAGACCAGTTGTTGGGCCTCCCCTGGTGGTGCAGCGGTTGAGCACTGGGTTGAGCGCTGGGCTGCGAGGTTGCCCATAGCCTCAGCAGCGCCAGTTCATTCCCCGGCCGCTGGCAAGGGTCCCACAAAAATAAATAAATAAATAAATAAAGACCAGTTGTTCTTTGGTGTGATGATATATATTTACCTATTATATTTGTGAATCACGATCATGATTTGTATATTAAATTTATTTGGCTAAGTAAAACGCATCTTTTAGAATCTATTTATCACCATGAGCACTGACTGTCTAAGACAGTTTTGTTCTTTTGTTGCATTAGTAAAGTGTTGTTTTCTTCCCGATGGCTAGGTTTTTTGTTCTAAAATACTGATTGCATGTTAGATTGAAAATTTTAAAAATTCTTTTGTATTCAACAAACCTAGGAGTTAGAGCACTGCATGGAAAGTAATAGAGCGCACATTAGCATCGGCTTTTAATTGTTGCAACTCCTATATCAATTAGCACACAACCTTCCGGATGCCAGCAGTTATTCCTTGATGGAAAGAAAAAATAAGACTTGTTTACCAAATTGAAAAGAAATTAGGAAGGCGATTTTCTCTAAATTACATTTCTACTCAAATGCACTCTCCAAATTTCAGTTATTTTCCTAATTATATTTAATATGTGATGAATTTTTAAACCTCTTTGTGCACTTTATGCTCTTGATTGGAAATTAAACATCAATTGAATTTCCATTTGGCTGGAAATCACAGCTTAGTAATTTTTAAAGATGTGATTTTCTCAAGTGTTTGCCTTGGAATAATAATAATCCTAACAAAAATGCATCTGTTGACTACTTTAAAGTTTACAAAATACTTACCAATACAGAGGCCTTATGGGCCATGGGAAGCCCTGAGGTTCTCACTTCAGACTTGGGTCTGAACCCCAGCTTAGCTGACCATTGACTTGTCCTTTCTGAGTCTTGGGTTTCTCATCTGAAAAAGGAAGATAGCACCTGTGTTGAAATGTTTTTTATCTTAAACAAGAACGAAGTCTGCAAAGATCTTAGCATGCAACAGTAGCTACCCTTAGTAGGAGCAGGTTTTTTATCTGTCTCCCGTACCAGTCTGCCCAAGCTTGAGGAGAGAGCCAGGATTTCATGACTCCAACCGCAGGGCACTTTGTTCTTCCCAGCTGCTTCTGGAGCAAGATTGCAAAAGTAGATAAATAGATGGTTAGATATCACCACTCTGACGAGATCTAGCTTCCCTGAAGGTAGCGATTTCCAGCCTGATAGACTTGTGACATTCAAGGCTGCTGGTGCTGAAGCTGAAACTACATCCTTTTCTGTCCTGCTTACAAAAGCCCAAGGAGAAAGACTGTCTTTTCAACAGGATGACCTGCAATCCACCCCATTCCCAACCCCCTGATATTTGATGACTGCTAGCAAGTTTCTTGGGACACATTCCACAACTTCTTGCAACACCACTACTATTACGAACCACTTCATAAGATGTGTTCTAGGGAGACTAAATAGGTCACTTTGTACAGTAGAGGGTTCCATTTGGAGAGCAGTAAGAAAGATTGGTGGGGCCAGTAGGAATCGAAAAAGTTAAAGCTCGATCTAGCAGGTGATCAGAGGTTCTTACATAGCAGCACAAGGGGGTTGAAGTGGCAGTCTGCAGAAAAGGTGGTTCAGAAGCGATAAGGCCTGGGAGCCGGGGTTACTACTTGAATGGTGGATGGGATGACATGAAGACCTGAATGAAGGCGGCGTGGAAAGGCATAGCCAGAGGTGGGAAGACCTATGACTGATTGGAGAAGCAAGGAGGTCAGGGGTCAAGGGATAAGCAGAAGTTTCAAAATACACTGTCGTAGGCAGTAGGTTTCCCTCTGTATATTTTGTGTAGATCTTGTAGCCCCACGACTCAATGTTCTGTTGGAAGAAATAATCCAGAAGGTACAAAAGGGCAGAGAAAGCACCAGCTTTGAGTTAGACATTTACAGGCCACAGTTCATAGCATATTAATACAATCATTTTTGTTTTTTTTTTTTTCAACCAAGTTGTTGCCATATGGAATTGCCTGGGTGGTGTGTGGCCCTGCCGTAAGATCCTAGGCTAAGAGCCTAGGTTTAAGATCCTAGTGACTTTGTGGTTAGTCATACAGAAAGGCTGCTATCTGAATTTAGAGCATGATTCTAGAACATTGTAAGTCAGTGCCGTGGTGACAGGGAATGCTCAGTAAATGACCACCCTCAGCATCTAACCAGCCAGTAACTGGAATGTTGGCGGTGACCAAGGACTATGTTAGGTCATCCCTGATAAACTGTTCTGTTGCAGGCCCCTTAAGGAAAAGGGTTGTTTTTTGTTCACTGCTGTATCTTCACTCACTTAGTAGATACTCAGTAAATAACCGATGGATGAGCAAATGATGCCTCAGATGCACCACTGTAGCTTCAGTGCTAGGCACAATGCTAATCGAGTGAGGAGAAACCAACAAAGGCTTACTGCAGTGAGCGGAAATGAATCCGACAGCATACTGATACACATTTTTACTTTTTAATTTTATTTGATTGTTTTTAATTATTTTTTATTATTATTTATTTATACAAGAACCAGGGTACAGGCCAGATGCGCCGGAGGGTGAGAGGATTCACCAGAGACAGAGCGGGAAACAGAACAGGCAGACTGACGAAATACAGTGCTGAGGGGAGCAGCGGGCAAGAAGTCTGCCACACCATGTGGGACCCTCACTGGCCGGCCAGGATTGAACCGGCACTGCAGAGGCTGCGGACAGCTTCACAGCGCTGCACTCAACTGCCTGTGCCACCAGGGGAGGCCCTAATTAATTTTTCAATTGAGGTCACATTGGTTTAGTACAGTGTCTATGACTCAGAGGTGTCGGTTCACACCTCCTCAGATGTAGGTGGCCATAGCACACCCTCCATCAGGGTGCCATAGTCTCCACCGCAGTCCAGGGGCCCCTCCCCACTTGGCTCTTCACCCTCCCCCTCCTCATCTGGTAGCCTCCATTCTACAATCAGACTTCTAGGAGCTGCTGAAATACATTTTAATTTTATTGTGTGAAATAATGTGCACTTAGTAATTTCGATATGGCATATTTAACAGTAATAAAATGATCTGCCTTCTTTGGCTAGTGATGATCTGGAACAGTTTATGGAAAGTCAAGGTGCGGCCAGCCCGGGCATCCTCATTTTAACGACAAGCCTCAGCAAACCATTCATGCGCCTGGAAAAGTATGTGACCCTCTTACAGGAGCTGGAGCGACACATGGAGGTAAGGAAGGCAGCTTTCCAGCCAGATGCCAAGCACGCACCTGTGCTGGGCCTCCGAGCTAGCTTTGCAGGGGAATTCGGGAAAAGCCTGCATCTCACAATTTCCATTATCCAATCTTCCTTCTTCCCGGGCTTCTAGTTTTCCTCTTTATGTAGCAAAATAAGAAAGGGACATTTTATGTTCCCCATTGAAGATATTTTTAATCTCTTACTCATTTTTATATATTTTTTCTCACCTGTATTGAGGTATGAGCGAGAAATGAGAACTATATACATTAAGGATATACCATGTGATTGTTTTTGGGTGTGCAATGTGATGATGTAATATATGCACACACTGTGAAATGATGATCACCACCAAGTCAGTTAACGCAGCCATCATCTCGAGAACACTTAAGATCTACTCAAGTAGCAACTTTCAAGTAGACAATATAGTGTTATTAACTCTAGTCACCTTAGGCCCCCGGGTCTTACTCAGAACTGGAAATCCATCTATTAGTGCTAAATGCCCACGATTATTCTCCCTCCTTCCTCTTGCCCCCTAGCTTCCATCCTTCTGCAAGCCTATACTAACTTGTTGACTTGGGTTTTGTTCTGCCCTCTCATGTGTAGATGGCGGCTCAATCAAAATCAAGCTGGACATTTCTGTTCTGGCATATTAACAAACTTCACTGTGGGAGATAAACAAAGCAAAACAATATCCAAAGGGCACTTTCCCTGTGGACAGGAACATGTATCTCTAGAATGCTGTGGTCATTCAGCTTTGGGATTCTGGATCACAGTGCAAGATTCTGGTATTTCCTTGAAGATTAATAAATGACCCTCTTAATCTGTGGCTCCACATGTCCACATCAAAGCTGCCTCGCATTTTTGTTTATAAATTCACTTGTCATAGCTGAAGCACAGCAATAATCTTTTCTAAATGTTAAAAGTTGTAGCCAGACCTGATAATTGGATATTTTTTCAAGAACCCAAATCCTGTTATTAAAAACCAATCAATAGTGAGAGTTTTCTGATGTGCTCTTGCACCATCTAGCATAGGGGACTAAGGTGTGGGTAGCAGAGGAGGGCCCACGGGCGGTGGAGGGCTGCATTTACCCTACTTGCTCTTCCTGTGTCTGGGGAAAGATTTTGAGGTTTTAAAGGGTTTGATTATCTTTAAAGAAAAAGGTTGCACGCTGCCAGTCTTGTCAGTGTTTGAAAGGATTGAAAGTATGTGTGCTGAGTGAAACCACATTCTCAGATTATGTGACCTGCCAGAAAACTGGAGGCAGCGGGGGGGGGGGGGGGGGGGGGGGGGGGGGGGGGGGGGGGGGGGGGGGGGGGGGGGGTGGCCTACCCGAATGAAATTCCAGGGGGGCTCAGGAAGGTGTTGACCTCTTGATGCCTTTCCAAAAGCTAAGCTACTTCACTGAACTGTTTGAGGTTTGCCCTCCCTTTCTTATTACAAAAGTCCAGAAATTAGTGGCCCCAGTTTCTGTTTCTGCTTAGTACTGAAGTATGAATATGCACTATTAAGTGCATATTTGGGGAGAAAAATCCCCAACGCCCCTACTGCCTAGGTCTTCTTTCTTCGCCTTCCTTGTATGGGAGCCTGTTTGTATGTCTGCCGCCATCAGATAATGAGCCCCTTTACATTAGCTCACCGCTGGGTGACACATTTACCTACCTTTCTGGCCCAGGTAGCATGGCCGCTGGCTAACTGTAGAGTAGAGCTTGAACTTCTCCATTATCAGTTGACTTTGGTAAGGAGCAATTTAAATATCAAAGGATACCCCCTTTCTCCTCACAAGGAATGCTTGTCCTTGGGTGTGGGGCAGACCTCCTCATCTGCGCAGCTCGGTGTTTAAGCACCCCAGGCTGGGGGAGCAGCAGATTTTGTCTTCAGCTGAATTCCAAACCTCAGGTATACATGTAGCCCCACATTAGGCGCACGTCTACACCCCTTAGGCCCCAAGGTTAGGCATATATCTACCCTCAAGAATTTCTCCTGTCCCTTCATAAACTGTTATAGCGGTGTGAGTCCTCCAAGCCATTACTGTGCTCTCCACTTCTCAGGGCTGTAGGTTGCCGGGCGCGGAAAGTGTGTCGTCATGACGTTGCCGAAGGAGCACAGGCTGTGCAACTTGGAATGTCTTCCCAACTGCCATGTTGTGGCTGCCCAAAGAAAATGGAGGCATTTTAGCAAATGAGATTGGATTGATTTTTCTCTAACCACCATTCTGTGCCCACCATTTGTTACCTAGTGTCATTTACTAACAACTAATCATCCCAACATGACTCAAATAATAATTTCGATTATCTAAAGAGCAAAGGGAAATGGTAGCAAACTGTAGAGTAGAACTTGAACCTAGTGTGTGGTTCTCAAATATCTGATGTGTTATTAGATGCTGTAATTTCTTAAACCGCAATGACTGGAAGTGCTGAGATTCCAAATGGGCAAATGCGGCTTTATTTTCCAATCTTCACGTTAGCATACAGTAAACTTCACTTTTTTCTTTTGCTATATAGTTCTATGAATTTTAATACATGAATAGATTTGGTTACTAGCACGACAATTGAGATAGACAGTTGCTTTACCCTCTACCCCAAATTCCCTTTTTCTATCTATTTGCCGCCTCACCCTCCTCCCGCCCCTAGGCCTTGCTGATCACTGATCCATTCTCATTTAATATTGTTTTAAAATGTATTCCCTTAATAGGACACGCATCCAGATCATCAGGATATTCTGAAAGCGATCGTAGCATTCAAAACCCTCATGGTAGGTGAGACTCTAAAATTATAATTCTCCATTTCGTATGCTTCGTTCCTGAAAAAAAGTGATTGTGTGTAACGTTTCTTTCCTTATGCAAAGGTCTTCAGAGTGGAAACAAGAAGCTTTAGTGACAGTATCGCAGTGATTGTTTCATTTAATTTTGTCTTCCAAAAATCATGCTTGCCTATGAAAGCTTGCCAGGCCGAGGGTATAAAGCACTCACATTTGAAGTCTCTGCCACATTAAGCGCTGCTGTGTAGGTGGGGGGTTTCCTTTTGTCTCTTTGTCTTTACCCCCATGTTGCTCATCTTATGCCTGTGCAGCTAGTCGTTCACTGATTGGCATCAATACTGGCCTCATCATCACCTACTGATGCCAAAGGTGCGTGTTTATTTTTTGCAAGTGAAAAATAAATCCTTCATCAAATCTGAAAGGAAAACAACCTGCTACAATACATTTGCTTTATATAGATTGCTATCAAAGAACCTATAGTCTTGTTTCTTGACTGTGATGGTGAATGGGTCTTCTTGAACTCATTGATGTAAAACCATTTGGTGCCATTTTAGGAGGAAACAAAATGTGATTTGGGGTGATGGATTAAGTTCCATTTCATTTGAGACATTTCTGTTGCCTTCCTGGTGATTGGGAGCCACGTTTAGTTGTTGATTCTTGCTGCAAGGTTGAGATGCAGTATTTACCATCACCCTGTTGTTGAAATCAGTTAAATCACAAGTTGAAGACCAGTTTAAGGTATTTTTTAAGTTAAAATGGCTGTTTTCATGGTCAAGAAGCAGGTAAATATTGGCAGTTTTACGTGGTTCAGTGTAATAGAACAGCCCATGGCCACCATGGTGTTTATCATAAGTTCTGTCCACTTTATTCTCCCCATGTAAATGGAATCATAATTGCCTCCTTTAGAACCCTTATTTCTTTCTGATCATTTTACATGTCGTAATACTTGTTTTGAGATTTATATATTTATTCTATGTATTTATTTATATATTTATTATATTTATTACTTCTAAATTTGTGCAATGAATTTATTTCTTCAAGCTTCCATTTAGCTAAATGAAGGGACAGTAGAGATTTTATAGAAGATACCCCCCAAAAAACTATAACATTAATTTGGAAACAATAACATAACTAAATGTATGCTTATTTTCATACTCTGGTTTCTCTTCAGATCATGTAAATCTTTCGCCTTTTACTAAATGTATGCTTATTTTCATACTCAATTTGGAGTGAATAGCATTAAATTACTGTAAGATAACCTGTCAGCCAATCCATCAGTCAGTCTGTCCATACTCATGCCGCATATGTTGTTTCTTGATTTGTATATTTAGTTTGTACTCTTGAAATTCAGTTGTATCTGCTTTTCCTAATCCTTTTAGGAACAAATATTAATTTCATATTTTTTCATTGCAATCTGCTACTAGTCCCTAAACAAAATATAGGGCAGTGTGTATGTTTCATTAAGCATTATGTGCATATGTTAATTCATTTCACTGTGACATAGGATTTAATCTTTTCCTTTTGTATAACTCCTGGAGACATTTTTGTGTTTTTTTTTTTTAAATAAGTATTCCTTAATTGGAAACTGAGCATATGTTAGAAAAACAAATTGCCTTGTAAGTAATGTGTTTTTTATGCCGAGTGCCTCAATGGAGAGGAGCTAGAACCAGGACCCCCCAAGAGATCTGAACCTCCCGTATGCCCCCTGCCTTCTTTGGTATGATTCTGCTGCTAATCTTCCCATACTCTTTGCAGAGAGGGAGAAACAAGCCTCTTCTACCATTTTGTCTTGATGTTTTGGCAAAATGAAAAGTAGCTCTTTATCAAACTCTTGGAGGCTCGTGGCTAGAGATTTAGGGTAGTAAGTCGATCTGTCCATCAAGAATGAATCTGGTGATAGGATTCATACTAAGTGATAAGGACTCAGTAGGAATCTGGGAGTCAAAGCCACACATTACTTGGTCGTATTTTAGGTCTGTTTCATAAGAATCCTCATTCCATTCTGTTCTGCTTTGGTTGTATAGGGGCAGTGCCAAGATCTAAGGAAGAGAAAGCAGCTGGAGTTGCAGATACTTTCAGAGCCTATTCAGGCATGGGAAGGGGAGGATATTAAGACCTTGGGAAATGTGATTTTTATGTCACAAGTAATGGTGCAGTATGGCACATGCGAGGTAAGGTGTTGTCAGTCTCCACACCTTTTCTTCCATCTTTGCTGTTTTGCTTCCTTTATTTGCTTTTCCATCAAGGTCAAAATACTTGAACATTCCAATAAAAAAATGAGCTTTTATTCTGTACCCAGTGTTGTGGTCAGTGCTGTGGGAGCAGGGAGGAAAGAGCAAGCATTAGTCCTGTCCTTCAGAGAACTCAGTCAGATGCAAGTCAGATAGTGAGTCTCAATAGCAGAACCCCTAGAAGCTCAGAGGAGGGGGAGAGCCAGAAGACGCCCCTAAGAAGACATCAAGTCGAGGGGCCATGCAGAGACGAGGGAAGGTTTCCTGAGATACAGTTCATTCTCATGTCAGGGGAGGACAGGAATGTGGGCCTCGGGATAGCGAGCAAGCCCGTCTGTCAGGAGTGAAGGAAGCTTGCCCGGTGGCATGACAGAGTTGGACTGAGTCAGACTGAGATTATGAAGGGCCTTAAGCGTCAGGCAAGAATAGGTCAGACTGACACAGCAGACAATAGGAAACAGAGTTCCATGTGGCAGGAGTTTACGGTATTTGATCTGACATCCGTGCATGTCAGGTAAACTGCAGGGGGGTGAAGGGGTTAAGAAACAGAAAACCCAAGTGATTGGAAAGTGATCATCGGCCTGAGGAAGGTAGCTGTGGAGAGAATGAAACTTAAGGGGCACATCTGAGAAAGACAAAAGTGTAGGAAGTGTGTGAACTTCTGTAGAAAAGTTAAAAGAGGACGTTTGTAGGAAGTGGTCACCCATGGGCCTGAGGCAGTGATGATGGCACTTTAGACCCATTGACTTTCAAGTGACCTTGGGTATCCCGGGGGAGATGTCTTGTAATTGGCTGTTAAACAACACAGAATGTGGGTGGGTGGTCAGTTGGAGGCAGGGATTTAGAGGTCTCTGACAGATGTGCCTTCCTAGGAAGGAAATACCTGGAGAGAACCAGAGAGGGCTGAAGATGGATTATGTTTTTTAGGAAGAGGATGGGGAGGGGAAGGAGGTTGGTTATGTCACCCTGGGGCGATCTCTCGGATGCTCTCCCTCCCCGAACAACTTCCCATCCTCCCTGACAGGTTTCTGTCAGAGATTCATTATTTTGGGTTAATCTCATTTAAAGCACTGGTACCCTGGGGAAGGTTAATGCAGCGAGCCTAACTATTAGTCTTTCACAACTTTGGAATAAACCTCTTGGGTAAAGAGAGGAGGAATCGGTGCCAGGAAAAGACAAAGAGGAAGAGAGGAGAATTGGGGGGTGGGAGGATGACCTGGTAATTCCAGGAGGAGCACTGGAAAGTGGTCAGCTTGCTGAACACAGCAGAAGGTTCAGAGGTCAAGACATGGACACCAAGAGGAAGCCACTGGATTGTGCTGGAAGGCAGTCATTGATGACTCTCAGAGAGCAATGGGATGCAGTTAGGGAGGGATGGATAGAGAGAAGATAAAGACAAGAAATCATTTGGCAATAAAATGTTAAGAAACAGGGCGTCATGTATCAGGAGCCACAGGGGCAAGCAGGCCTAGCAGGACAGGGGCTGTGCATAGGTTAAAGGTCGAATAGCAAAGGCTAGTTCCACAGGAGAGGCTGCTGGAAGGAGAGATGAGATGTTTAAAGAAAACCGAGCACAAGAAAGAGGCAAGTGATTGCACAGCACTTGCTAGAAGAGTAGTCTCCAAAGCTTGCTCTTCTCATGAGGACAGAGACAGAAGGGGCGTAAGATAACTACAGGTAGACTGCTAGACATGTAAGCTGACTGTCCTTGCTTGCACCTCTGAACTGCCTATGTGTTTAAGGGACTCAAAGGGCTTCTGCTATGCAAAATTTCCTTTCGTCCCATTTTAAAAATCATTGACTTCTTTGCTTTATGTGGTTAGAATAATTCTCTTGTTCTCACTAAGTAATTTTTATGAATAAGAATTTAACATACATGTTACCATGTAATACATTTCCTATCACCCAAAAACCCCATCACTTTGCCACTTTTCAAAGTAAAGTCATTTGCGTTTTCTGAACCGAGACACTAATTTTGTGTTATGGCTGCAGCCTGGGAAGGGAGGTATGGACCTGGCCTCGCAGGCTTACCTACTTGGGAAACAATAAGGTTATTTGTATTTAGCTTTATGTGCTGGAAGGACAGAGATCAACTTCAGGTTGATGTCCATTTCAAAGTAAAATTCTACGATTTTATACTTTCACGTTGGGTATCTTTAAAAAATATGTTGTTTATATTACAAAAACTTATTCCAGAAATTCTTAGTGAACAAAATATCCATTTTCTATCTCCACTGAATATTTTTCATTCCACTTCAGGAAAAAGAGGAGCGGTACCTTATGTTATTTTCAAGTGTCTTGATAATGTTATCTGCAAGTCCTCGGATGAGTGGCTTTATCTATCAGGTTAGTAGACTTCATATAAAACAAATAGCAGGACCCATAATGAAAAAAGATTTCCATCTAGATGCTATATCTCCGCTCTGGCATTAAAAGCTCCAGTCAGAAAAGAACAGAATGTTCTGATCCTTCATTGTAATTAAATAGCTTATCAGAGCAGATGTCCCTTATATCAAAGACCTTTGTATTACTATAATGCAATGTATTACTTTGTATTGCTAAATTACCTGATTGTCCACTGCTCTGGCTATGAGCTAGGTTTTGAATGTATAAATAGAAATCTAAGTCTGCAGCTAGGTAAATGAGCAGCAGTATTTTACAAGCCCACAGTGTATCTTTATTGCTGAGAAAATACAGAACCTGGGGCTTGCTGCTGTGGTTGTATTATTACAGTCACTTCACATGATTCGGGATTCTTAGATGCAAGTCATTAAACTCCTTAGGAAATGAAACTTCCTTCGGGCTGCTCCCAAAATACAGAGTATTATATATTCCCATTGCCTGTTGTATCTTGGTCTGGCAATGACTAGTAAAATTTCAGTCTTTATTTTGCTCATGGATTCTCATGAAAATGTGTTAGAAAATAAACTGCTTGTAAATCCTGACCTGATGGTTTTAGGGGTTTAGCTAAACACAATCCACAGTTCCCCTCTTGCTTTCTTGCCTGATTAAAATTTGGAGTGGGGAAACAGATTATGTGTTGACAGACCGGAAAAATATATCTAGCCATAATTTAGCAGTGATTCCTGAGAGAGTCAGGAAAGCGAATGGAAATAAGCGCAGGCTTGTATAACCACAGAATTAATGGGAATCTTCCTTTTCTGATAGGGAAAAATGCCAACAGCGGGAATGGCAGTGACTAGATTAGATGAAATTGAAGGGAATGACTGCACATTTGAAATCACAGGTAGGTCATTTTCTCTTTTTCATGCAGCTACTTCAAATCCTTTTCGGAATGAAGTGGGCTTTAAATAAATAAATGCTATTATTTTCTGTTATACAGTCTGGGCGCAAGTTTTACATGGCTTAGAGAAGTATATTCCATTTCCTGGGATAATTAGGGTACAGTGGCAATAGAACAGAGAAGTCTCCTGGTCATTCAAAAGCCTCCACTTTGCCATTAGTTTCAATCTTCTCTCGCATAAGAGCTACTTGTTAGAGCTAATAACAAAATGGACTGATGTAAATGCAATTTTCTCTTCCTTCTGTCATCTATTTCCTGGTGGCAGAGGAGCCAAAGATGTGGATTTTATCCGCAATTTTATCATCAGCCTATGAATTAGCAAGATTTGGTTGTATTTCTAAAAAGTGCTGAAAAACCATGAAGCTTCTTCACAAATTGAGCCAAATGCCAGGCCTCGATAATGCTCCCTGGCCTTTTGCCAGGCCGGTGTGATTTACATATAATGGTTGCCCTTTTCTACTGATGTGGCCCAAGGCCAACACTGGGCAAATGGCCCCAGGCCTTTCCCCCTTATTTCCCAGTGGGGAGCCCAGGATATGGTGTTGGCCCAAAGATTTTAACCCGTCTTAGTTGGATCTTGTTTCAAGTTTGATATTGGATAAAGCAGTATGCTGTTCTCATTTTATTATTTTATTTTTTTAACTCTATAGGAAATTTAATAGCATTTAAGAGGTAGGTTAAAGTGTTAAAAATGAACATTGTGTGTCTTTTTAATGTGGCTTTGTAAATAAACATAAATCATAAACATACAACCATATTTAATAAATGTATTTATGTATAAAACTTATATCTTAACAATCTATTAAACTTAATTTTTAAAATGAAAATATGTCATCATCTATGCAGAACATGAAGATAAAAATAAACAATCCAAATGAAGCCAAATATAAGAATTTTATTTTACACTAGGCAGACTCTGCACTTAAATTTTTGGATTGTAAAATTTCTTTTTGTTAGTTTACAGTGAGATTTTATACTGCTGCTGCTAAGTTTCCGAAAGCAGTAGAAATCAAGTTTTATACATCAGAGGTGAACATTTACTTCTTTATCGTATTATCCCAGCTTATCTGTTCCAGAAGTTTCAATAAGGTTATCTTGTAGATAGAAAAGTCCTGAAATGAAGCCTAAGTTCTAGTTGCATGAAATATGCTTATGAACAAAACAAGTTCAAGGTCCTCCTTGCCTTTTGTTTTCAAATGCTCATAATCGGTGATGCAGGGAACTTAATAGAGAGAATTGTGGTCCATTGCAACAACAGCCAGGACTTCCAAGAATGGCTGGAGCAGCTGTGCAGACTTATCAGAGGACCTACCTCCTGCAGCTCATTATCCAAAACATCATCGTCATCTTGCAGTGCTCATTCCGTAAGTAGTCCAGGTGCTGAGGCCAGATATCCTCGAGTCTCTTTCAAATCCTGCCTGCTGAGGACTCAGGAGAAGCAGTGAGCATGTCCCGGGTCTCGGGTAGTTTATATTTGTAGACTTTGAAGTACAGTTAAACCTCACTAATTCTGATTTCTTTTGGGGGGGGGGGCTATCCAAATTAATCAAGGGTTTTCTCTAGAACGCGTGTAGTTTTGTTTGACAGTATTTAGGTAGTCCAACTAACTGCTAGCAAAGTGTTTCTAACTAGCAGTGCTGCTACCATGTTTTAATGCTAAATAAGACGCATTTTAATTAGCAACTGTTATTCTCCTATTAATAATTTTCTAAGTCATAAGAAATAGTTTGCCTTCCTAAGTACTTAAACATCTTCATGTAATCTCATTTACACTCACATTCGTTCAGTAACCTTCAGGGGTAAACTTGTAGGATTGCCTTCTTCCACCTTATCACAAATTTAGCATTCATAGAATTTGAATTGCTGAGATTTTACTGTACTTGAGTGAGATCGAAGACCCCTTATGTGGGCTGTGAACACTGACCGGCGCCGCCCGGCTTCCGGTGTGGAGTGCTGTGTTGTGGTGGGAAGAACATCGGCTTTGGCATCCAATCTGGGTTCGAATCTTGACTTTGCCAAATCACTTCGCCTTCTGAGCCTAGGTCTTAGGTTGTTCTGATGAAATCAGCTGTTTAAGCTCCTAAGAAGAGCGCCCAACACACGAGTGAACTCATTCAATATCGAGCGTCTCCCCCACCTTCCTCCCTTGGGGGGAGAAACCACGACTTGCGTGAAATTCCAGAAGAGAGAGGGAGGACAGGAGCATGGGGTCCTGAGTCAATTTTGTGCTGTTCCTTCGCTACCCCACGATCTTGACTGGAAAGCGCCAGTTCTCCCGCTGGAAAGTTCCGTAGTTCCGTTTTCCCTTCTTTGCCTTGGCTGCTCCCACGGAGATCGCGCTCTCTCGCTGCGTGCGGCACAAGGTCGGGTTCAGATGGCAGATTGCCAACATCTCATCAGACGTTTTCCCAGTCTTTTAGCTCTACTGGACAGCCCCGAGGACCCTTGGAGCCTCCTCAAATTATAAAACCGTGGAGTTTAAGTTGTCTGCGACCTGCGCCTCCACTTAGACCATCCGCAGCTCTAGGTTATAAAGAGGTAATTTTGCTACATATGGTATAAAATGCTTCTGATGAGCTAATTTTGTAGCTGATGACACATAGTTCTGTGGGAATGTGGTAGAATTTGTGATAGATGATACATGTCAGTGAATCTCGTTGCTCCACTTGGACATTTTTTATTTCTTAATTACCCACTTCCCCTGTTCCATCTACAAATATTTCCTGTGGATCCACTGAGTTTATGTGCACTGCCTGAGTTTTCCAGGTCTCTTCCTGAAGTGTGCTGGTTTTCTATACGTTGGTAAGGGTGTATCTACATCACTGGCCATGATTAAACATGGACCACTTTATTAAAGTTGAATTCCCAACCAAGCAAACCCAGTGCCGCGTATTGGAACAGTTTTATCTATTAAATGGAATCAGTACAGTTATTGTAAGACCAAGCCAGGAGTCCAAACTCTGACAGTCTGACCTATTCGCTGCAATTGTAAAGGGGAAAGAATAGAAGGAAAGGAATGCCTTTTCAAAAGAGGCTTGTAAACTTGAGAGCTCTTTCGATGTTTAGGTAAGGTGGGGATTTCAAGGTTTTTTTTTCCTCTCGAAGTTGCAGGCAGGAAATGTCACTGGCTTCCGTCACTGTGGGGAGTGCTATCTTTCCCATTCCAACAACAGTGGATTTTTTTCCCCCCTAACCTGTTAATCATCGTTTCAGAAAAGAAGCTCAGTGATGAGCAACTATTCTTTAAATTGGTCTTATTGAATGAAGCTCTAAGTTTATGACAGTGAGGGGACCCGTCTTAGAATGATGGAGCAAATGCAGTGTATATTTCTACAGGGAACATGTGCTTTGATGAGCGACGCAGACCTAGCTCAGTTTTGAGTCTTGATTTAAAACCCCATACTACTGTTTGCATAAATTGGTGCCCCCAAGTCTTAGTGCAATGAAACTAGAACAATATTTGGACACTGGGGGATTTTTGATTGCTTCAACCCAACATGATAGAAACAATAATCCTTGAGCTGAATCTTTATTATGTACCTCTGTTCAGAAACAGGCCTGGATCCTATCGCACAGATTTGTTTGGGAAATTGACCGATGATAACCACAATCATCCCATTTTCTTCTTTGATTACCTAAAACCAGGAGTGCCACTTCATAATTATCTAGGTCCCCTTTTTAATGATGGATATTTTGTTATTGTCAGTTACTAAATTCAAATGAAGGTGAGCTTTGAAGGGTAAAGGCAACTTAATCCTGCACAGAACTAATCCATTAAAACTAAGGCATGATCACTTTGTTTCTGCTGGGAGAGGAGCATTATTAATATATCCTTACTATGTAGTACGTATTTCGGTGATTTCAGCATTGGTCATGCTGCACAGAACTGTATTCCTTGGGCTTTTGCATGATGGTATCGCATCTGAAACTAATGTGGGGGACATGTGATATTCTCTCTGTGTGATTTGTGATAACACTAACATTTCAAATGTTGTTTTAGAATTATTGATAAATGGATTTGGTCATTATAACCATCGACCTCTCACGCTCATCTTCTCTTTCTTTACATATTCACTTTAGAGGATGTCTTATATCTTAAAGGTAAGGGTAGAACAATATCTTTGGCTTACAGTGACATCATAATGCTGTGCTGTAACCTTTGATGATTGAAGCTTTCCTTTATGCTTGTTTTGTCCTTTGTTATAATTGGTGGCTAAAATATGAAGAGGCAATTCTGACATGTAAGTACGTTCTTCAAAAAGCAGGCTTTTGTGGAAATACATGTGAAAAATGTCATCTCAATGCCTTAAAAATGTCTATTTTTTAAATGTTATTTTCCCCGTTATTTTTGTTCCATGTGAGTGTTTGATGTCTCTGTTTTTAAGTCTAACTAGATCACAGTGGCTCAATGGAAGAAATTAAATTCTTTGTTTCATATATTTTTGAGGGACTAGTTTTATCTATGTATCAAGGGAGGTTGGGTATAAGATGATCATGAAGGCTTTTGCTAAGATTCTAATTCATTTACGTGGATGCTGATGATGAATGTTTTTTTAAAGATCTGCTGCTTATTCCTATGGCAAAGCAAATTCAGTGATTTACACATCTTATCTACTAATTTAAAACATGACTCTATATATGTATATTTAAGCTTGGCTCTTAGGTAAATTACTGCTAACTCAAAATTGTATACATCAGGAGAAATCCTTCGTTTGACCCTTCACTCTGACTGCAGGGAAATTAGTCTCTCTGCCTTAATTTTCCCATCTGACAAATGGAAATTCATATTCTTCTTGGTGGGACTGTTGCAAAGGAAAATTTAAGTCATTTTCAAGCTCTTTGAAAAGTGTCATGTACTCTACTAGTAGCTACAACTGTCATTTAATTCCCTCACCACTATCAGTGGGGAGTGCACATCAAGTTAGAAATAGTGCTGTTTCTCGGGACTGATGCCCACCCCTCCCTCTGCAGATGGCTCCCCTAAGGCATTTGGCCTCCCAAAGGAATCTGCCACATCTCCAGTGGGCACAGTCCATTCTCATTCCCATCGCCACAACAATTGAGAGGATAATATCATTGCCTCTGTTTTATTTAACCTTTTAGAGTTCACTGGAGCCATTTTTATTGTGTATAAAATTAAGTTTTATGCACTCCTGATTGAGACTATTAAGAGAGAGGTGTTCTATTTCATTTCATTTGCTCTTTTTTATTTTTTTTTTTTCTTTTGGAGCAGGGAGAATTTTAATTCATAAAGTAACCACTATCCTTACAGGAGTCTAGTAAGAGCCCCAAAACGATGAAGAAGTTTCTTCACAAAAGAAAAACCGAAAGAAAGCCATCGGAGGAGGAGTATGTGATTCGGAAAAGTACGTGTTTTGTATTTTCTAGAAGTTGGTTAAGAATGAACTAAAACAAAGCAGACAATTAGAGCAATTTGTTCTTGGTCTCATCTGTGATCTAGAGAAAAATGCACGGGATGGTTTGGTCACCACTGAGACTTTGAATAAGATGCCACCTGTGCTTCCACTTAGCCAGACACCAGCTGTATGACTTTGTCTTGAATATTTGGACTTACTGGGTTTTGAGCCACTAAAGGGACCTGTTTGCTCTGGGTACATTATTCCCCTGCTTAGCTTCTGATGTCTGAGATCTTTTCCTCTACTGAGATAGACTGAATGGACTGTGCTCCTTCTGGAAGTCCAAAGCTCAGGATGTGCTCAATTAGCCAAGGCATGGGCCAGCTGACATGCAGAAACAAGGCTTGATTTCAAGCCAAACTGCAGTCGGTTCTTTGGGACACACATCAAGGAGTAAGTGATGTCTCAAAAGAGGGTCCCGAGCTGTATCAGCTGACAATATAGTCTGGATAAATCTTTCCTTGACTCTAACTTCTGCACTCCCCACACCCCGCCTGGGCGTCTGCGTCAGCACGTTAGCTCCGTCATCCAGTCATTTCGAGAGTGAGTTGGAGGGAGGAGGGAGAATCAGTGACTGTGCAGGCTGGTTGGAAAAATGGGTGGAGTTTATGGGGGAAAGCTTCCTAGAGAAGGTGAGCCTTGATCTTGAAGGAGAGGAAGGATGTGGTGTCAGCCACTGCTGTCACTGTGGCCTGTTAGAGGTACCTGGTAGGAGTCCCCAGTTTTCGAACTCTGGGTGGGCTTCGGGAGCAGACGCCCTCGGTGCTGAATGCACCAATGTTGACCCAGAGTCCCTAGGGGACACTGTTGTTCCTGCTGCTTTACAAGAGCTGGGCGGCATCTCTCCTGCCATCCAAAATGGCACCGGTCAGAAAAGCCAGTCCCCAATATCATGTCGAGGGTCTAGGGGCACATCTTTGTATGAAAGGTCATGATTGATTACTTTTGATAGGTACTGCTGCTCTGGAAGAGGATGCTCAGATTCTCAAAGTGATAGAAGCCTATTGTACCAGCGCAAATTTTCAACCAGGCCATGGCTCAAGTAGGTTCCCCCAAAGCATTCACTCTCCTGAGCTTCCGTTCCCCCTTTCTGCTTCTTGCCTCCCTCTTCCCTCCTTCCTTCCTTCCCTCTCTCTCTTTCTTTCTTTCTTTCTCCCCCTCTTCCTTTCCCTGCTTGCTGCCTCAGAAACAGAGAAAAGCAGCCCAATGGGTTGCAGGGCGTGGAACCGGGTTGCCTGCTGCAGAGGACAGAACTGCGTCTTTCAGTCGTGGTGGTTTCAGCTACCAAGCGCTTTGTTTACCCAGAGAGAAAAAGATGCGAGAGTAAGAAAGTTGGACGTGATAGAAATGAAGGGAAAAAAAAAATTTAAGTCATTCGCCTTTGAAGTACACAAATACCCACAGCGCACTAGCTAGGAATTCAAGAGGCCAGAGAGTTCCTGTGTCTGTGAGCTGATGCTAATCTCTTCTTTGGCGGCCGCGGAAAGGAAGTGTCAATACTAGCTCTGATCAGCTGCATATTTAAGCGAGCGGTACCTTGCCCAACCCTAGTTGCAAAGTTGCTCTGAAAATCTGGAAAGTTGCTGCTAAGCAGGGCCTGTGGGAATGGAGACCACCTTTCAAGGAGTCGTTCAGGCAGGTTATTTCCCACACAGCTTTCGGGCTTTCAAATGAAAGTGAGATCATGTTTTCTGATACATCCTGGGTTTTTGCAAAAGTGAGGTCACACCGGGTATGTCATTTGTCTTCCATGGTTGTAGACACTCAGGATGCCTTCTGTGAGGCTGTCACACCCGCCTGAGAAATGTGTGCTCCCTGGTGCTTGCTGGGGAGGCCAGGGCCCACCTCTGCGTGTGCCAGCAGAGGGTTTGGGTGGCAGTCGGGACACCGTCCTTCAAAGTCACTTGTCTCTCAGACTCATGAGGAAAATGTTTGGTGTGAAAGCCGATACAGTCGACCATGAGGAGGAGCTGCCACCACCCCTTCTGCTTCACAGACAAAGCTGGGCTGTGGCTTTGGGCCTGCCCGGCCCTGATAGCAAATTGCAAGGAGCCAGGAAAAGAAAGTGAGAGTAGGATTTTTTGGTTTTACTCATCGAAGTAACATTGGTTGAAAACCAAAAAAGAGAGGGGCACAGGGAGACACGAAAGACATGCCACTCCTACAAAATTTGTTCCCCCACCACCTCTCCTCACATCGGAAGTCAGGAGATCTGCTCAGAGGTGCAAGTGGTTGTTTGGGCCTTCTGGACCTTTCTAGAAGAAACACCCACATTTCCACCCCTTCTGCCTAGCCCACCTTTTCAATATGGGAACTTTGCAGGGCAGTGCTCAGCATGTAGCAAGCCTTTTAGCATCTAGTGACCCATCTCCCTCTATCCACCAGCCAGTACTGTTTTCAGAGAAGTGACCACTGTTGTTTCTTACTGTGTTCAGTCAGTCAGTCAGTCAGTCAGTCAGTCTGCTCTCTATTTAGTAAGCATCCATGGTTGCTAGGCCCTATCGAAGCCAGAAGCACATTTCACCTCAGGGAAGGAAAGATGGTCAAGTGAAGGCAGTGGGTGTAGGAACATGAAGGAACTTGACTTAAAAAAAAATGGAAACCAGTGGCTCAGGGATACTTGAAAATGAGGAACTCAAGCCTCTTCAGGAAAGATCCAGAAGCCAGTGGTGGGAGGTTGGAGGCGAAGGAGAGCTGTTTGGTCAGGTCCTATGTCTATTGTGTCACTTCACCCATTACAGAGCCTGAACAGAGACTGTGGGCAGAGGGTGGGGAGGACACTGGTCTCTTTGCTGCCGGTATGACCCCTTCCCAAACCCAACCCCATCTGTGATCAGAATGTCCTAACTGCCCCCACCTCACCCCACAGGACTATAAAGAGCACAAGCAGGAGTGAGTGGTGATTCTCAGGCCCTCTAAGCGCGTGTGTCTCTATGCAATGCAGCTCTCTAAGTGACTTTTACTAAAATTACGGGGGCCTCCCTGGTGGTGCAAGGGGATAAGCACCACACTGTGAAGCAATCTGCAGCCTCTGCAGCATGAGTTCAATCCCTGGCTGGCCAGGCAGCAACCCACATGGCACAGCAGACCTCTCCTGTCTCGCCCACTGTATTTTTAGTCAGTCTGCCTGTTCTGTTCCCCACTCTGTCTCTGGTGAATCCTCTCACCCCCTGCACCTCTGGCCTGTACCCCAGCTCTTGTATGCATAAATAAATAAATCTTTTTAAAAAATAAAATAAAATTACGTAACACGGCAGCATAGGGGCTGGAGCACCGGCCCGGAGTTGATGCGCAGGACAAGATGTCACTGCCCAGCTCTGCTCTGCAGGAGGCAAAAACAGGAAAGGATGTGGCCTTGGTTCAGGCCGGGCAATACAGCCACCCTTTACATGATTCCTCTGATAAAAAGTTCCCTCCTCCAAGATGGAATCTGTTTTTGGCCATTTGGAATTCCTTGTCAGGAAGCTCTCGTCAGCAAATGTTGGGTAACAGTTCCCTGGGGGGTACCATTACCAAGACCCTCTGGTAATAATAGCAGAAAGGAGATGATACCCCAAAATCTCCCCTCGCCTCCATCTTGCAATCTGTGTTTGTAGGTGCTCGCAAAGATTCAATCCCGCAAGTCTTACTCCCTGAGGAAGAGAAACTCATCATCGAAGAAACCAGAAGCAATGGGCAGACCATCATTGAAGAAAAGTGAGTAGAGTGGGCTAATGCCTTCCCTGCTTTCTCGGGGGGGCTGCACTGAAGGTTCTCGCAGGGCAGTGGTGCTCATAGGAAGCCTGCACTGAAGACCATCCCTCCTCGTGGTCTGGGGATAGGACCCTTGGGAGGGCAGGAAGGGACACGGGAAGGTGAGGCAGAGGGGCGGAGGTCTCTCCTTGGGGTGGCTCCCCATGCAGTCAGGGGCTTCAGGGTATGTAGGAGGATGGTCTAGGTGGGGAAGGAGGCACCTGAGGACACCAGAGCACCTCTTCCCTGACCAGGTACTGGGCTTTTACAACTTGACCTGAGTTAGAGACCCTCCAGCAATCCAGTCAGCTAAGTACACCTCTCACTGTTTCCCCGGAGGAGAAGACTGGGGTTCAGGGAAACCATGTCTGGCTTATCTTTGGCACAGTAGTGAGGGGAAATCTGGTGAATGGCCAATGGCTTGTCAAATAAACACAAAGTCGCCAAATAATTCATTCGTTTAAACTTGAGTCATTTCCGAAGTCAGGCCTAAATGTGCGTAGGACAGAATGTTTCAAAGTACTTGGCATTGTTGTTGTGTTTTTCCCTCTGGTGAATGAAGTGGTAGAGAAAATGGCAAAGCACCTGGGCTTTACCAGGGAGGATAGCCCTGGTTCAACTCCCAGTTCTGCGATTTGTGCAAGCTCTTTCACACACCTCTCGGTGCCTCAGTTTCTTCCTCTGTGTAATAGCTAAGGTAGTAATACTTTCCAGGATATTGTGAGGCAAAATAGAATAATAAGTAGCTTGCACAAGGTAATCGCTCAGTAAATGATGATAGTTATTATTATTATAGCTGTATCAACCTTATGACAACTTTGTGAAGTTGTCAGCGAATGTGGTAATATCCCCAATTTGAATGTGAAGACAGTAAGACCAAGGCCAGATGAGAAGAAAACGGACTGCTCAAAGTTAGAGGACTAGTGAGTGATAGGATCAGAACTGGAGCCCACATCTCCAAAGCCCTTGCTCAAGAACAGAACTAGGGCCTCCCCGGTGGCGCAGCGGTTGAGCACTGGGTTGCGAAGCTGCCCTCAGCCTCTGCAGCGCCGGTTCGATCCCCGGCTGCTCCCTGGCCACCGGAGGAGGGTCCCACATGGCGCGCAGACCCCTCCAGCCGCCCGCTGCTTCCCTCAGCAGTGTACTTCGGTCCTTCTGCCTGCTCTGCTCCCCGCTCTGGCTCTGGTGAATTCTCTCACCCTCCCGCGCTTCTGACTGTACCCAGTACTTGTATAAATAAATAAAAAATAAATAAATTTAAAAAAAAAAAAAGAAAATCTTTTAAAAAAAAAAAAAAAAAAAAAAAAAAAAGAACAGAACTAAAGAGGAAATGACTCTTCCACGAGCCAGCCAGGATGCTTCATCCTTTTTAGGTATTCTATAGGACCTTCCCAAAGTAATGTCCCTAACATGTAGGGCCAGACAGGTGAGAAGGGCGTTACACAGATATTGTAGGGTAGGTGGGGCCTGTGACACCTCTCATTATACATTAGGTGATGCTCATTTCTGCCCCAGAGAGAGAATGCCAAATCATGTGTTGAGCCCTCACCTCTGTTCTTTAAAAATAAATTTGTATTAAGGTAACATTATTTAGATTTTGGATATACAGCTTTATCCTTGTACATGTATGCATACTACATCATGATCACCACCAAGAGTCTAGTTTCTATCTACCACCAAACGTTTGACCCCCTTTCACTCATTTATTTCACACCCTCCCCAACGCACTTCCCCTTTGGTAACCACCACTTAGCATTGACCTCAGCAATGTCTTTGTGAATTCACACCAATGGTAAGAGTAACAAAAGCAAAAATAAACCAGTGGGACTACATCAAACTAAAAGGCTTTTGCACCATGAAAGAAACCATCATTAAAATGAAAAGGGAGGACCTCCTTGGCGATGCAAGGGGTTAAGACGCAGCACTATGAAGCTACCCGCAGCCACTGCAGCATGAGTTCAATGTCTGGCCAGGGAGGTGACCCACATGGCACAGCAGACCTCTCCTGACTCGTCCGCTGCTCCCCTCAGCGGTGTACTTAGATTAATCTGCCTGTTCTGTTTCCCACTCTGTCTCCGGTGAATCCTCTCACCCCCCCACACACACACACACCTCTGGCCTGTACCCCAGCTCTTGTATGCATAAAATAAATAAATCTTTTAAAAAAATTGAAAGGTAGCCTACTGCATGGAGTTTGGGAAAAGATATTTGCAAATCCATCTGTCAGTATATAAAGACCTCATACAACTCAACAGCAAAGAAACTAGCAACCCAATGAAAATGAGCAGAAGACCTAGTTTTCTGCTTCATACTCACCCAAGCTGGGAAGCAAGTGGGAAGGAGGAGCAAAGCACAGAGACGTGGCGGGGGCCCATGATGAGTACGCGCAGGGGTGCTATTGGCAGGTAAACCGGCGGAACACGACCACCAGTTACAGCAGTCTCTCTCCAGGTCGGCTAAAGAGTCCACTGCTTTTCAGGATCTGTATTTCTATAAAACTGCTTTTAGAATTATTACCTAACAATACTGGAGTGCCAGCCATTAATGTCTGAATTTTACCTTTTTGTTCTAGGAGCCTTGTTGATACTGTCTATGCCTTGAAGGATGAGGTCAAAGAACTGAAACAGGTGATGAAATATCAAAGTCATTTTCTCAGATCATAACGGGCCCACTCCCTCTTCCTTGCCACGCACTGGTAGCCGCTCTCAGGAAAGGCCCAGGAGCACGGCGGTGAGGTGGGGATTTTTATTTTCCTTGTGTCACCAAGGTAGGTTTTGTTGATTTTACATTTGGGCTTGGGTTTAAATTTCTGAGGCTCACTTAGATACCTATTTAATGGTTTGCAATAAGGTCCCAAGCTCAGTTATAGCTTTTATGTTCCCTGGAAGTTGTAAACAGAATTAAGAAAAACTAAGTCATCCAAGCGTAAGTGTAAACAGAACTCTAAATTTTGCTTTGTGGCCTTCTCTGCAGAAGTGGCCCCATGCGCCACGATGCATAGTCTTACTTGTGTTTGAGGACTGGCTGTACCTGGTCACAGGGAAAAGGGAGGCCTGGAGGGGAGAGAGGTCAAAGGCTGAGGCCACACAGGAGGTGATTTAAAAATGCAGGATGACACGTGATGGAGTCCTGAGCCGAGGCAGGGCGACTCCGGCTGGGCAGGAGGAAAATGGATGAACGGGACCGTGTGCTGCAGAGTTAGAGTCCAAGGACAATGATGCCCTGACACTGAGATTAAGACAGAGGCAGGGATTAAGGGTGAAGCTTCTTACTTGATATCTCTAGTCATGCTTCACTTAACGATGTTTCGGTCAACAACAGCCATCCCAATAGGTCCCGTGGAGCCTGGGAGTGTGGTGGGCCGGACCGTGTAGGTTTGTGTAATTACATTCGATGATGTTTGTACCATGAGGAAAACATCGGATGATGCGTGTCTCAGCCTGTGTCCTTGACATTACGTGACACTTGACGTGGTTTGGTATGGTGATGCCTGTCACAGATCAGGAATTACAGGAGGGGAGAAATCTGGGGTGCTGGGGAATAAACTCAGTTTGTTCTTGGACATAAAGAGTTTGAGGTGCTTGTAACATGTTTGGGTAGAAACATCAAGTTGGCATTTGGGACTGTGGACCTTGTGATCGGGAGAGCGGCTAAGGTCAGTATCAGACTTGGAAGGCCCCTTAATAGATAAGTGAGTTGAAAGAGAAGAGACAGTAAACAAAAGGAGGGTTGAAATCGAAGAGAATCCAGGGCCAGGACCTTAGCAAATGCATGTATTGCAAGGAAGAAGAATGCAAAGGGTTGGTCAGAGAGAGATAGGAGACTCGAGAGCCTGCCTTGTCTTCGAAGCTGAGCGAGGGAGAGGAGCATGAAGAAGGAAAGTTTAGTCAGTGGTGAGAGCTGTCAGGAGGAGTCTGAGAAGCAGTCGCTTTGGTAATGACAAGTCTTTCCCCCATCACAGGAGAATAAAAGAATGAAGCAATGCCTGGAGGAAGAATTGAAATCAAGAAGGGACCTAGAAAAGCTGGTGCGGAGGCTGTTGAAGCAAACTGATGAGTGTGTACGGTCTGAGTCCAGTAGCAAGACCTCGGTTCTTCCGTGACCTCACTGTGCTGCTGGGCGGAGTGCGTCTTCAGAGCAGCTCGAAACGTCCAGCTGAAGGATTTGACTCAATCTGCTCACTTCTTTGGTGTTCTTTCTTTCTCTCTCTCTCTCTCTCTCTCTCTCTCTCTCTCTTTCTTGTTCTCTCCAAAATACCCCGTTTGCTTGAGTGTTTGTTGTTGTTTGGTTATTGGTCGTTGTTTATTTTTTATCGGGTAAAAGCAAGAGGGGCAGTAGGAGTCACCCAGAGTCTATTCCATTTGATAAGAGAAGGACAGTGAATACAGGCAAGAGACGTCCATGCTCTGCAGTGGCCTGCAATTCACAGTGTGCCTGCCACAGCCGCTACCCTCGGGTCACTCTCGTCCAGCTGGCTGCTTCCCAAAGCAGCTGGCTGTGGCTTATTAAATGTGAACTTCATGTCTCCCCAATCTGTGGCTATAGCCAGAAGCCCCTCAATACTTAATTTACTGAAAGCAAAGCTTCTTAAGCAATGACTAGAGTGAAAGAGTAACGCATTTGCCCAATGATCCAGCTGCCCCCCCCAGACCATCATGTGCCCTCCTCCATGCCCACTTTTTAGAAAGTCACTGCCACATGCCGTGTGTAAGACCAAGGAAACCACAGGACCCTTGTTACTTTTGTGTCGCTTTACTTTTTGACTCTGTGGGGAAGAAACTCGGGTCATCCATGCCAACCCCAAATCCATGGATAAATTATGCTGGACAGCCTCCCCTTCAGCCACAGAATGGACCATCTCTTCCAAGTGTACTATTGGCCCCTCCCCCAGCCTTCTCCCTCATGTGCCAGTGTTATACTTACTCAGTGCTTTTTGCCAATCATACCAGGCAGTGTGTCAACTGGTACGCGTGTGCTTTGCTTGTGTTCTAAAAATATAGACTGTGAGCAGTTACTTTATTTATCTACATTGCCTGTTCAAATTGTGACTTCTCATCGTTCAAAACCATCCACATTGAGGAGCTACTGTGCCCTTGCAAACACCGCCATGCCCTTGATGGCTGCCCCATACATGCTGTGAGGAGTTTGAGCCTCTTTGAGAGGGACTGTAAGCATTTTGTGCAAAAGTGTGCTGCCGGTCCCGTTTGTACATCCAGAAAAGGCCCCTCTAATAGCTACATGCTGGTAACTAGAGAGACTGATCATTTGGAATTGGTTTACTCAACCTACTCATCAAATCAAACCCTTGCCTTTGTAAGTATCACACAAATTGAAACAGTGATAAAGCAGGTTTAGGAGAACCTCAGATGTCAGCCGAAGGCTCTGGAACAGAGCACAGTAACCCCTCCCTCTCTCTCCCAAACGCAGGTGAAATTTGGCCACGTGGGGGAAAACATTGGCAAGAGCAGCAAAGTGCCAATAGAATGATCAATGTCAATACATCAGTGCCTGTAAATGTGGGTTTTGCAAAGGTTGTTTTGGAAACCAAACATGGACCTTCACATCCCCAGCCTGCTGAGAAGCCCTTTTTTTCCCTAGTGCTGGGGATCTCAGGTTCACATGGCCACTCGGTACAGAGCTGTTGACTGCTGCACAGCAGAAATGACACCATCCACAGGAAATTCCTGCAGGCTACAGTCAGCCCAGCCACACTCAAGTGTCTTTGGAAGTTGAGGCATGAAGAGGATTTCTAGGAATGACTGCTGTTCCGTTATTAAGCACAGCAGCTTAGATATGCCATTCTTTACCTAAAAATTTAAAACAATGACACAGATCTTAGCATCTGCCCTGTGTGTGGTTAGTCAATGGCTTGCAACAAATGTGCAAACTATATCCATAGGAAACATTTTTGTGATTACGTGATTACAAAATACTTTAGTTGATAAGATATAGGATTGCTTAAAATATTGAAAGATATTTTATTTTAAAGTGACATGTACATATGCATGTTTTGGGGACTTGGGCCTTTTGATGAGAGGCCTTTGGTACTCTGAGTAATGAAGCTTGTGCAGAGAGATGTCCACGCTCCACACTAAACAATCATATAAAGGAAATGAAGCCATGTTAACCCGAGAGCAGTGTCTTCATAGTTGTGTTGTTTACAATCCTCTATAAATGGGTTCCTATTACCCTGTAATGAAACTGCTGCCCCTGGAGGCCTTTCAGTTCCTCTTCTGTTATGTCCCTTCTTACACAAGCTCAAATTTTCTAACCTGTTTTTATTTGGAAGATTTTAAAATTGACATTTTCAATAAATATAAATAATGATGCTTTATAAAATAAGTCCTGTGTTTCCTTTTTTGGCTAGCTGGTGTCAGAAAAAGCTCTCTTTTCCCAACGCCATTTATTGAAGAGACATTCCTTTGTCCATTGCATGGTCATGGCTCTTTTGTCAAAGATCAATTCCGTACCTGTGTGGCTTTATCTCAGGGCTGTCTACTCCATTAGTCTGCATTTTTGTTTTTGTTCCAGTACCATACTGTTTTGATTATTATTGCTTTGTAATATAGTCTTGGCAAGTCAGCATCCTCTTTCATTTCCCTCATTAACTATCCACTCTCATCAGGCTCCCTAAACAGCTACTACCTTTTCCATTTGGGGCAGATGACATTTGCTTCTTGCGTCACATAGACAATACTAGTCTCTTTTGTTGGATTTGGATATGTGTTCCCTGAACACAGCTGATCTTTGGGACTCTTTCCTTCATTCCTTAACTTCTCTAGCCCTCTCCTTTTGCCCCAACCTATACAATGTCCATGCCTCGTCACACCATTTTCCTTCCAACATTAAAGAAAAGCGTATACATTTTCCTGTTCAAGGTTAACCCTTTGTATTAGTTTTGTCTCCATTCTTATTTATATTTTGCAGGATTTTGTCCAACAGTGAAATCCTATACTTTGACTACAGTCGAAATGCTGGTGTCAAGAGAATGAAAACATTGTGTCACCTCAAGATAGATGTGCTGGGGATTATCTGTTGCTCCTCAGCATCCATTCCTACCCTTTTTTAAAAAAAGGTTTATTTTCATTTATGCATACAAGAAGTAGGGTGTAGGCCAGAGGTACAAGGGGGATGAAAAGATTCACCAGAGACAGAGTGGGGAGCAGAACAGGCAGATCTACTGAAATACACTGAAGAGGGGAGCAGCGGGTGAGACAGGAGAGGTCTGCTGTGCCATGTGGGTCAGCTCCCTGGCAGGGGATCAAGCCCATGCCTTAGTGGCTGGAAATAGCTTGATAGTGCTGAGACCCCTTGTACCACCAGGGAGGCCCCCATTCCTACCCTTTTTATATTTTGCCTCAAAAGCTAAAAAAGAAAAAAATACATCCCAGACACCCTTGCAGCTAGTGTT